CCCAGCCTTCAGAACTGTGAGGAATAAATTTCCGTTGCTTATAGCCACCCAGTCTATGGTATTCTGTTATAGCAACAGGAATAGACTAAAACAGTAATATTTTGCAAACTATCTTATATACTGTCACAACCAGGATATTGACATTCATATAATCCACCAGTCTGATTCATATTTCCCAGTTTTGTACTGATTTTTGCATATGTATGTATTAAGTTCTGTAAAATGTTATAACCTGTGTAGGGTCCTATATCCAGAACAGTAAAGGACATAAACAGCTCCAATTTTACCAAAAGGTCCTTGGTATTGCCCTTTTATGACTACACCCATGTTACTCCTTCCACCTCTTCCACTTAGTCCCTACCATTTGGCAACCACTAAATCTGTCTTCCATTACTAAACTTTTGTCACTTCTAAAATGTTATATAAATGAAACCACACAGAAAATAAGCTTTTGGACTGGATTTATTTTTTCAGTATAACCTGGCAACTCATCCATGTTGTTGTATGTATCAACAGTTTGCTCCTGCTGCCTAGCAGTATTCTATAATATAGAAGTACCATAGTTTAACTCTATACCTGTTCACGGACATTTGAATTATTTCCAGTTTTTGGCTATTATGAATTAAGCTGCTATGAACATTTGTGTATATTTATTAAAATGCCTATATGGAATTAGCTACCACAAACTGGGGGCTAGGAGTGCTTATTGAGTCCATCATTGTTTCTAAGGGCTTTTCAGTGGAATTAGGATATGCTTTAAAAAAAATCCTCACAAAAAAAAAAAAATCCTCACTTGAGGATATGTTCATTGATTTATTTATTTTTAAACATGATAAACTCATTTTTTAAAGTATTTTTTTTATTGATTTCAGAGAGGAAGGGGGAGGGAGAGATAGAAACATCAATGATGAGAGAGAATCATTGATTGGCTGCCTCCTACACGCCCCCAACTGGGGACTGAGCCTGCAACCCGGGCATGTGCCCTTGACCAGAACTGAACCTGGGACCTTTCAGTCCGCAAGCCAACACTCTATCCATTGAACCAAACCAGCTAGGGCTGTTCACTGATTTCAGAGAAAGAGGAGGAGAGAGAAACATCAATGGGCTGCCTGTTGTACACACCTCGACTGGGAGTTGAACCTGAAACTTAAGTATGTGTCCTAACTGGGAATCAAACCCGCAACCTTTTGGTGCATGGGACGATTCTCCAACCAATTGAACCACGCTGTCAGGGCAGGACATGCTTTTTATTTTTATTTTTTATTTCAGTGAGGAAGGGAGAGGGAGAGAGAGATAGAAATATCAATGATGAGAGAGAAGCATTGATCGGCTGCCTCCTGCATGCCCACTACTGGGGATTGAGCCCACAACCCGGGCATGTGCCCTTGACTGGAATCGAACCTGGGACTTTTCAGTCCGTAGGCCGACACTCTATCCATTGAGCCAAACTGGCTAGGGCAGGATATGCTTTTTAATTTAAGCTAAAATATGCCATGACTTCATACAGTTACTTCCTAATTAAATCAAGACTACAGGAAATTGCATAAATCACTGATTTTAGATTTGCATCTTTTTTCCTGTTATAATACAAATCTACATAATTATTTCTTCCCATTTTTTTATTATGGTAAAATATGCATAAAATTTAACATCTTAACCATTTTTAAGTATACATTTGTGTTATTAAATATATTCATAATGTTGTGCAACTATCACCACAATCCATCTCCATAACTTTTTTTTTAAAATCCTCACTCGATATTTTTCCATTGATTTTTAGAGAGAGTGAAAGAGAGAAGGAAAGACAGAGAGAAGGAAAGACAGAAAGAAATATTGATTGCACAAACCCTGACCATGGCCCAGGCTGGGGAGGAGCCTGCAACCCAGTACGTGCCCTTGACTGGAATTGAACCAGGGACCGTTAGGTCCACAGGTCAACGCTCTATCCACTGTACCAAACTGGCTAGGGCTCCATAACTCTTTTCATCTTGTAAAATTGAAATGCTATACCAGCAATTTTCAACTAGTATGCCACAATAATTTTTAAAACATGCAATACCTACTTAGTCAGGGGCACTGACCTCTTTTCCCTTATATTGTCAAATTAAAAGAAATGACAATAGCTGTCCAATGTGAGTGAATCAAAATTATACCTACTTTTTTGTCAGACTGGCAAAAAATATATATTTTGGCATGCTGCAGAATTTTAGTAATTAACTTGGGTGTCATGAGATGAAAAATGCTGAAAATCACTGCTCTATACTCATTAAATAACTTCCCATTTCTCCCTCTCCCTCCCCATCCCTTGGTAACCACCATTCTACTGTCTGTCTTTATGGTTTTAACTAGTCTAAATACCTTATAAAAGGTATTTAGTTGTCTTTTTTTGACATTCAATATTATTTTATATTAGTCTCAGGTGTACAGCATAGTAGTTGATTATATATTTATGAAGTGATCCCAACGTAATTGTTTTAGCCTACACACTTTCACCTATTCTCCACAATATGACTACTGAATACAATTTAAGATTTTATGGCAGTTTTTTGTTGTTGTTAATCCTCACCCAAGGATATTTTTCCATTGTCTTCTAGAGTGGAAGAGAGAGGGGAAAACAGAGAAACATTGATATGAAAGAAACACATCGTTTGGTTGCCTCCTGCATGGGCCCTGACCAGGGCCTGAGATGGGAGAAGCCTGCAACTAAAGGATGTGCCCTTGACCAGAATAGAAAATGGTACCCTTTGGTCCGCAGGCCGACACTCTATCCACTGAGCCAGTGATGGCGAACCTTTTGAGCTCGACGTGTCAGCATTTTGAAAAACCCTAACTTAACTCTGGTGCCGTGTCACATGTAGAAATTTTTTGATATTTGCAACCATAGTAAAACAAAGACTTATATTTTTGATATTTATTTTATATATTTAAATGCCATTTAACAAAGAAAAATCAACCAAAAAAATGAGTTTGCGTGTCACCTCTGACACGCGTGTCATAGGTTTGCCATCACTGCACTGAGCCAAGCCGGCTAGGGCTGGCAGTTAATTTTGTCTTTTAGGTAGATCTTCGGATGTATAGCTAAATCAGTGTGTTTTGAAGTCATTCAGTTCCCTTCTGTGCAGTTAGGCCACCAACTAGATATACATTTAGGTTCATTTGTTCCTTTTACTTTTGACTTTCAGGGATTGATTTTTTAAAAATTAATTTTTATCATACAATCATGTAAAACATAGATTTCTGAAGTCAAATACACAAAACAAAGTATATTCAAAAGTCTTGCTTTTTCCCTTCATTCTATTCTCTCCTTTCCAAGCTAAATAACCATTAAAAATTTTAAATGTATACTTCCACTTTAAAAAAATGTAAGTATTCATTTATTTACATTTGTACCTCCCTACGTCCTCTTACAAATAAAGAGTTAGAGGGAGCCCTAGCTCGTTTGGCCTGCGGACTGGAGGGTCCCAGGTTCGATTCTGGTTAAGGGCACATGCCTGGGTTGCAGGCTTGATCCCCAATGGGGTGTGTGCAGGAGGCAGCCGATCAATGATTCTCTTTCATCATTGATGTTTCTGTCTCTCTCTCCCTCTCCTTTCCTTTCTGAAACCAATAAAAATATCTTTTAAAAAAGAGTAGAGGAAATGGGCATACTTTCTTATTCCCAACTTTAACAGGTAAGCCCTTGGTGTTACGCCATTGAGATCCTCAAAAACTTTTTTTTGTAAAATGAAGGCAACACTATCCATTCTATCTGATCTTCCACACCATTTCTTGGGAAGATGAAGGATGTGAAAAGTGGTATAAAAACATACCTGTCTACTTATATTGAACCATTTCTGGGAGAACCTTGAGTCCTGGATCCAATTTAGTACGTTTAACACAAGAACAAACAGAGGCTCACAGAGTTCATAGGCCCTGCCCAAGGTACGCGGGGACTAAGCGAGAGCTCCAGTCATCTGCCTTGCAGCCCAGGGGTCCGATACATCCACCAAGCTCTTCTTTTTTAAAACTGTACTCAAGCCTTCTCTCTCTTTCTCCACCACCGAGGTGCGTGCAGTTCGCTTCTCCTTTGCCATGTCTTCCCACAGGACTTTCAGATCAAGAGGTTCCTGGCCAAGAAACAAAAGCAGAATCGGCCCATCCCAAAGGATTCTGATGAAAACTAGTAATAAAATCAGGTACAACTTGAGGAGGAGACAGTGGAGAAGAACCAAACTGGGTCTATGAGGAATCACACATGAGAGATGGCTCACATATTTATGCTGTATCCAGGTTGCCTGCACCCTTAAATGATTGAAAGGATCACTACTGTCTGGACAGTTGGGGCATTTTAATCGGGAAATTATTGGACTCATGATTTTGCTCTGTCGATTTTATTTTCTGCAGTAGGTTGGTTCAGTAATAAACGTGAGACCTTTTAAACTGCAAAAAATAAAAACTGTACTCCACCTATAAATACCTACTTTTATAGAAAGGAGTATTTTAGGAGACCCTCGAAAAGGAAAAAGTAACAAAAAGCCTCAAGGCTGAGTGAGGCAGTTGATGCTCAAGCAACCACTAGCGCCCGGAGTCCCAGGCGGGGGCCGGCGGCTGGTGAGCGAGCGCTGCCCTCACTCAGTGGCAGCTCCGGCCCGAGCGCGGAGGCGACGGGGAGCCTGGAGACGCAGTGACGGCGCCGCGTAGGGGGCCCAATGCGAGGACGCTGGGCAGTGGAGTTAAAGCTGCCCCATTGGCACCCCGACAGGAGGGCTGACATCCTCCGGACTCCAGGGGAAGAGTCCGCCGGGAAAGGACAGCATGTCGGAGCTCCCGAAAGGAGAAATGGTACTGATGAGGATCCGTAGGGATTCCACGGCTCCGGCTCTAACATCCCGGCCTAGGGGCGGGGCGGGGCGGGGCGGAGGTCGGCCCGCAGGGGCCGCCGGGAAACCGGGGGAGGAGCAACAAGGATGACGCTAGGGAGCGTAACAGGGCGGGGCGAGGGCTTGCCTCCCCGCCCGCCTGGGTCGGGCTAACGGCTTCCGGTCGCGATGTTTGGGAGGGGCCGGGGAGAGGCGGTGCCCCGCAGCCGCTCCAAGATGATGGGCTGCGAGGAATCAGAGCTGAAGTCGGGGGAAGGGGAGGCGGCCGTAGCGGCCCCGGGGCCACCCCCGGAACCCCGCGCCCCGGAGCCCGGAGCCCCCGTGCCCGAGCCTGGCCTGGATCTCAGCCTGAGCCTGAGCCCGCGGTCCGAGAGCCCCGAGCCGCCGAACTGCAGCCCGGGGCGGGGGAAGGGGCGGGCAAACCGGCGGGGCGGGGCCCGCAAGGAGCGGCAGGTGAGCTGGCGGAAGGCCTGGCCTGCAGCCCGCCGACCGCTCCGCTCCCCCTTCCTCACCGCCCTGCTCTCTGCCCCCAGGTCCGTTTCCGCCTGGCGCCACCCTCCCCGGTCCGGGCCCAGCCGCTGCCCGTCCCTGCCGCCCCGGGCGAGAAGCCCGCGGCGCCGCAGGACCTGGGTGCGCCCGCGCCGCACAGCAGCCTGGCTCTGAGCCTCGAGCTGCAGGCCGCGCGGGCCGCAGCCGCGGGCCAGTTCGATGCCGCGAAGGCCGTGGAGGAACAGCTGAGAAAATCGTTCCAGACCCGCTGTGCCCTGGAGGAGAGCGTGGCCGAGGGTGAGGGGGGGCAGCTGGCAGGCCGGGCGGGGAGTTGGGGTGAGAGGCGCGGCTCACCCCCGCTCCCCCTGCGGTCTCAGGACTGAACGTGCCGCGCTCCAGGCGGCTTTTCCGCGACCTGGTGAGCCTGCAGGTGCCCGAGGAGCAGGTTCTGAGCGCGGCGCTGAGGGAGAGGCTGGCGCTCCTGCCCCCGCAGGCCCGAGCCCCGCCTCCAAAGGTGAGGGCCTGGGCCGGGTCCCCTCCCGCGTCCCCTGCCCTTGGCCGCCGCGGCTTCTTCCCTCTCCTCGTGTAACTGGCTTTGGACTCCATTTCCGACAGGAGCCCCCTGGGCCAGGGCCGGACATGACTATGCTGTGTGACCCAGAAACGTTATTTTATGAATTTCCACACCTGACCCTGGACAGTCTGCCCGCTCTCCGCCTTCAGCTACGGCCCCGCCCTTCAGAGGATACCTTCCTCATGCATCGAACACTAAGGCGATGGGAAGTGTAGCCCAGGAGGTGCCCAGAATTGCTTGTATTTTTGTGTTGAAAGTAACATAATAAAGTGGTTTTGCTAACAAATGGGACTTTTCTTGGAAGGCTTAAGATGGAAAGCTGTAGGTTAGAAGCTGCCTGGAAGCCAAGTATTTTGGCCCCTTCTTTAAGGAACTCCGTAATGACCAGTAGAAAACACTGGTCCAAGTAAGAGGTTTAGTTTTCATTCTTTTAATCCTCACCTTAGGATGTTTATTGCTTTTTAGAGAGGATAGGAGAAACATTCCACTGGTTGCCTCTAGTAAGCGCCAGACTGGGAATGAACTCGCCACCTTTCAGTGGAGTCCCCAACCCCGTGAGCCACACTAGCTGGAGCCAAGTCAGGGGTTTGGGTACCCTCCCCACATCGTCCTGATTGCAGTCACACCCACCACCTTTGTTTTTTATGACACCACACTTGTTTCTTTGCACCACTTATTTCTGATCACTTCATGTGGATCTCAGCCTGCATGTTACCTGACTCAGGGAACCTGGTAAGGCAGCTACCAGCATTTATTTAAATTATCTCCTTGCTTTTACCTTCAAGGGCCTTGCCCATCTTTACACCTGACCAGAGTAAATACTTGACAAGCCACTGAATAGCTACATGTTAAGTTAAACTGCCTATTAGCTGGTTCCTCAGCATCAAAAAAGGAGGGTGGATGGTAGGGAGGTCCTAGAGCAGGGAGTCCCTCAGGTCCCAAGTGTCTTTTTCTAGCTCCACTTCAATTCTACTGTTAAATCCCAAAGTTAGCCGTCTGCCAAAGCTTCCACAAAAAAACCTGTCAATGGTTTTTGTTGTTGTTTTTTTTTTTTTTTTTTGGGGGGGGGGGATGGGAGATAGATGGGCTCTTCAAGTTTCACATCAAAATTTGCATCATACCCCTTTTTCCTGACTAGGGTCCTATATAGTTGTGTGTAGATGTAGCAATCCACAATCTTCCCAATCATTGAAAAACCTTGAGAGTAGTTTAGACAGAGGAAGCACAGGTTGTACTGGGAGGCACCATCCCTTCCCACCAGTTAAAAAGTGCCAGACAGCCTGGCCTGTGTGGCCCTGTGGTTGAGCATCGAACTATGAACCAAGAGGTCACAGATCGATTCCCGGTCAGGGCATATGCCTGGGTTGCAGGATTCCCTATGTAGGGTATGCAGGAAGCAAGTCAATCAATGATTCTCATCATTGATGTTTCTCTCCCTTCCTCTCTCTGAAATAAAATATATATATACACAAAAGTGCCAGACATAGGTGTGGGGGCCATTGCCCTAAACATCAAGTTTATTGTGCTGTTCTTACATTCCAAACCCAACCCCCTCTCCCATGGGGGACAGCAGAGGGATTTTCACAGTACCTGCATGCCTCCCCATCAAGCTTCCCCCTCTTCAGCCTCAGTCCCTCGATCATGTGGTCCACTGAAACGGAGGCAGGGACAAAGGCTGAGGAGAATGGGAGTTTCTCCTTGGAAGGACAGGAGGAAGAGCCCAGAGAACTTGATAACTCCCCACCTCCTGTGCCCTAGGAGAACAGAGATCAGCAAACAGTCCATGCCATCCAGCCAGTGGGCTGGGGGAAGAGGAAGATGGCGGTAACTCCAGAAGAGCGGGGCTTGCTGCTTAGGTACCAGAGGTATAGGGAGGAGGCTGGGGCAGCAACACAGGAAAAGCTTTCTATGCAGATCCAAGAAAGGAAACTTTTGGAGCCAGAAAGGAAAGACTGCGGGATATTTTCTTTCCCCAGGTCCTTAAGAGCAGCGGGCAGCTTCTTCACACTTTCTGTTCAAGGGGCCACTCAGTGGCTGGGGGAACGGGCCTTGTGGAACAGGTACACAGGACGCTGGAAGCCTAAGAGGAGAGTGTGCAATCAGGAGGGATGGGCAGGACCTCAAGACTCCACAGGGTCTGTACCTTCTCCCTCAGGACTGGTCTCCCTCCCCCACCAAAATAAGCCAGACTTACCTTTGAAGGTGCTGTGGGGTGTGGCCACAAGCTCATAGCTGGAAAAGCCCACTTCTGGGGATGTCAGGTAGGAACTGAACTGCTCTGGCTTCAGCTGGATCCGATAATAGTTCTTGTAGGTTGTTTCCTAGGGAGAAGAGCAGGGACCACTTCAGCTTGCTGCCTTCTGCCTGCCAGAGAATGATGCCCACCCAGGAGATCTTTTCACCTTGTTCAGAAAGTCCTCTTTCCACTTCTTTGGGGTCTTTCTTGCCTTAACTAAAGGACATACCAATTTCCACTTAAATACCAACTCACTGTGAGAGTCTTTCTCTTGGCGTAGGTTGACCAAGGTTGGGGTTCGAGGATCAAGATGCCCCCAGGGTGCAGGTGCCGGTAGATCCGTCGAAACATGCGCTTCAGTCCCTCGTCTCCCCAGTTCAGATGTACCCACTTGGTAAGGCTGAGGCAGAGCACCACATCATACTCAGGTGTTTGGGCGTCCACCAGCTCATCTCGATCCAGCACATAGTTACCCTGAGGGAGAGGTCAACAGCGGCATTAAAAGAACTATGAACCCACACATTCAATCTGCAGCCTCACTTTATAGCCCTTGGCCACAATCATCTTTGATACCGTCAGTATCACTTTTTTTGCATGCTATTGGTGGTAAACCAAACAAAAAGAAGCCTCACAAGATCTCCAAAGTTGGGGTGAAACTGCCGAGAAAGAATGCTAGAGTTCCTCTAAGACGCTGTCCATTAAGCCGAGCGGCACAACGGGACCTAACCCAGATTTGAAAGGGAGACCTGTGGTTCCTTCTCAGTAGTTGGGGCTGGCAAGGTTTTAGGATTGTTCTTTCCAGAGAAGTGAAGAGACCATCCCTCAGGAAATTTTTGTCTAGGTAAGCTAGAAAAAAGTCCATTTTCCAACACTATTCCTGCAGATGGCGAATTGGAGTGTTTCACGAGGAGCTATGTGCAGGCAGTCAGGGGACAGACGCTGAAGGCATGTTGCCCTCCCCTCCTGCAGAGAACTCTGACTCTTCTCCATCCTATTATCTAGTGTCAATGTGGAGATGATCCAAGGCCAAGCACTTGGGTTCCTGACCATGGACACTCTTCAACTCTATATCAAATGCAAACTAAGTCCCTATCAATGGAGAGAAACTGCAAATATTAGCCACTATCCTAATCCTCCCTCCCCCCTGAGACATTCCATGTCTGATACCCATCCCTTCATGCACCTTCAGTAGGTTAGAGGACAAGTTTCCATGTGGACCAGATCCCCAAGTGAGCATCAGCAGTAGCCCCCTAGAGAAGGTGGACTGGCCTGGATTACAGTCCAGGTAGGGAGGAGGGCAAAAGGGGTCAGATCCCGTTTTGGGGCTAGGAGTCACAAGAAAGGAACCCAGGTAGAGCTTCCTTCCACCTTTCCAGGTTATAGGAAGGGACACCCAGTGGATTCAGACCCTTCTCTTGAGGATCTGGTTCTCCCGGTGTGGACTGCATATACAGAAATCCCTCTGGCTCATAGCCTTCCCGTCACATTATTTAATCTCATCCTCATACCTGGGCCCTATCCCAAGACCCTCTTACCGTAACGAAGACAACATTGTTGGGGAAGACTGATGTGTCTGCTCCATCCAAGGGCACTTGGGGTGCAGCAATGGGACCCCGGCTTGCTGTCAGTGAGGCTGGGAAGCAGCTCCTCTTTCGAACGGTTTTGATCCCTTCCTCACTCTCTGCCCCTGGGTCCCCCTCAGCAGTCTGGGGTTGCAGACGCAGCTCCTCTGACAGGTAGTGTCGGATGTTTTGGCGGGCCGAGTGGATGAGTTGGGCATCAATATCCAGGCCTACCATGCGGGATGGGCCCCACTTACAGGCAATGCTCAGGGTCACATGGCCCACATTGCAGCCCAGATCTAGGACGTCCCGACCCTTAAACCACTCAGGCTTCAACACCCGAAGGCGCCCATCCTCACAGGAAGGATTCCGGTACCCATAGTACTTGCAGTAATTCCCATACTGGAACTTGCGCTGTTGCTTTTTGAAACCTGCTGCAGGTAGTGGGTGGAGGTGGTGGCGGCCTCCCCCACTCCCTCGGCCCTTTTCCTTGGGACCCTGGCTTCCTCCACTCCTAGCCCCTGCCTCTGACTTGCTGGAAGTCCTGCGACGTTTTCGATGTCGTGAGGAGGAAGACGGGGGTGCAGAGGTAACTGAGGCAGCTGAAGAGGCTGAGAGGGAGCCTGAGGGACCCGGTAGGGCAGACGGGAGGGGAGACACAACCTCATCCCTGCAGTTGATGGCCGTGTTGAGTTCATAGGGCTGGGGGGCATCACGGTTTTGGTTCTGGCCCCTATGCCGTTGCTGCTGTGTGGTGCCCTCCCCATGGAGTGAGGGAGTGGGGGGAGCTGTGGGCAGCACAGAGTGGCTATCAATCCCTCCAGTTGCCTGCTGCTGCTGGTGGTGCTGTCCCCGGTGTCTATGTCGCTTCCGACCAGTCTTGAGTGGTGAAGCAAGAACTACTTGGGCCTCATCAGTGCAAGTATTGAGACTCAGTGGGTCAGTAATATCTTTGGGGATGAGAATCTCCACTGGATCTCGCCCCTTGGCCGGAAGCGGGGATGACTTAGGGGTCTCAGCATTGAGTGCGCGGCTCACTTCCTCATCCAGGAGACTATTCAGGTTCAGTGGATCAAAGATATTGCCCCCCAGGAGGAAGTTGGAAGGTAACACAGAGTCACAGTCCGAATTAACCCGCCTGCGCCTCTTGAAGGCCGGATGTTTGAAGCCTCCACCACCTCCCCCTACATTGCAGCTATTTCTCCGCTTGCCCCCACCTCCCCCAGGGGGCCGGTGGGGCTGATAGCCGTTCCGGGGTCGAGGCGGGGCAGGGGGTCCCAGTTCTGTTCCACCCCCTCCCCGTCGCTCCTCCCCCAGGTCCGGGGGAGCGGCTCGCCCGTGGGGATCCGACAAGCGGGCCTCCCCGTGCGTGTGGAGGCCGCCCCCTCGTTGCTGCTGCGACTGGCTGACCCGAGGCTGGGCAGCAGCCCCGGGGCTCTCCTTGCCCGCTCCAGAAGCCAAGACCCCGGCTGGGTGTGCTCGCGGGCC